TAGATCTTACACATTCGGTAGGACTCCTTGGGCGGGTGATCAGCTCGTCTCACACACACAAACTAAACATCCATGCCCTGAGTGGGATTCGAACCCACGCTCCCGGTTTCCAAGCGAGCGAAGACAGTACATGCCTTAGACCTCTCGGCTACCGTGACCGGCTCAGTACTAGTTTACATAAACTAATTTTCAGGTGACATCGTCCATAGAGAGAGACAGAGAAATGAGGGTTTAGTAAAGTGGGGAAGGGGTGAGGCACGAGTCACTGAAACGCAGCTGCACTTATATAAGCACGCTTTACCCCCCTCCACAAAATTTCTGTCCTTTCCTACCTATTTAAAACACCAGCCAGATGAGCATTGATATGGGACGCTACAAGTTTAGGGGAAGCATGGGACAGATGTACCGACAAGCGACGCTTGCGTGGCGTCACCTAGTAACCATTGTCAAGTTCCACAGCTGCCACCACGTGCCCTCGAGACGCTCAAGTAAAAAGCTAGTGGGCTACTATTGTATTTGGAGCGTCTGTGACCCCCACTCTTCGTCAGTCCCCCCCNCCAGGTCCCGTTCCTGGACTTTTAAATGTATTGTTCTGATGCGTAGGGGAAACTAACCTGAGGGGAGTTTCGTCTTTCATTCATTATCAAGAGGATGCATATCTGAGGTAGAAGGAATATGAAAAGAAGGTGTTCACTTGACAAGTGTAAGTAACACTTGGTGAGGCAAATGTAATAGGTAAAGGTATCCTTGTAAGAAGCCGTGGAGGCCCATAGGGCTGTGAGACGTCGTTGAGGCTGACACATTTTGTAGACAGTCGGCTCACAGATGACGGTAAGGTTGTCAGCCTTACGCGCCGGCCGCCCTTCACCTCCAGTAAGAGGCTGAGTCGTCCCCAGGGCCCATAGTTGCTTTCAGACTATACTTGGTACTCACCGAAACAAATGTATGTACCTCGTGGAAAGAAAATTTCGAAATTTCTCGACCTAATTCCTTAATACTCTTAAACAGTAACTGAACAGTGATCACCGTTGAATGTCCGTATGTTCTATATTATTCCGAGTGGATTCAACATAAACGTAATGCACATCGGTAACAGTTTGCATATGGATTCCTGATACGTGCGAATGACGAATTTTGGTACCCCTGGAAAGTTGTTTTTGTGCCCATAGGGTTGCCGGTATCACAGTTTGTCGAACTCTGAGTTACGACATACATTGATTTTGCTGTGGAAGTCACGGCCTATAAAACGACAATATTAAAATGGGCACCATACACCTAAGGGCTTTATTATTCTGTTTAGCCACTCAAAGTCTGAGTTCGGCCCCAGTTAACAACGGCAGCCTGCCGTTATGCACCCAAAACATTAGCGCCAGTCAGTAGTTTACGAGAGTCTGTGCGTCCAGTCACTTCTTCATGGAAACTCTTTCCACCTCGAGCTGCTTCTTGCTCCTCCGTCGCCAACCCTTGCAGTCATTTCAACACAAAACAGACACTCGAATTATAAACACTTTTTAAGAACCTATGATCATATGCATCACAAGATGATCATATTAATCTCTCTCTCCTCGCCACATGTAACCTTTTTTTCTGGCTTCCAAGGGTCGACCATAGATAATTGACATGCAGCCTTTCCCTGAGGTGTATTTAATGTATCTGTGCACCGTTTGATCGTGCGTTGCGAATTTGAACTGTTCCATGTATGTATTATGGCATGTAGACCCGTTGCTAGGCAACGGCTGCGAAATAACTGTACAACAGCCTTTGCTAAGTAATGGCTCCACAGACAACGGCCGTTGCTAGGCAGTGGCTTAGTAGCGGTTACGTGGTCACTTAGTAGCGGTTACGTGGTCACGAACGCAACAATTGCACTGCAACAGAGGAACGATGTTCCTTGCACGGTCCCTGCCGATATGTTATAAGCAGGACAAATTAGAGAGAACTGCTGCTGTTCACTCCTTGTGAGCTGTTAGTGTTAGAAGCTGGTGTCTCCGGGGACCGTTCGGGAACCCAGAGGAAGGGAACGTCCATCGTTGAAGCCGCTACCAAGCAACAGCTAGTGAAGACTGTAACACACTGAGAAGACCTAGTGTGCCCTGTAATGACTGGTGAAATGTGTAGAACAGTGAGAGCATAATCCTTGCTTGTAGTTACCAGTTTTAAAGAGTGCAGTCAATTCGATTACTAGCCCCCAAACCCGTCTGTAGTCACTAAATCACGTGACAGTATGTTGTAAGGCGGTGTTGAAAGTTTTTCGAAATTTTTGTGCGTTCATAACAAGAAGCCCGCTTGTAACAAGATGGAAATGATATGTTCCTTCGAAACGTCGGTTGAATTTTAGTGTACTACACAGCATTATACCACAGAAGATAGAACTCCTCATAATCACAGCTTTGAGAACCTCAGATTCTAAATGTGTGGAGTTTTGCCTCAGTTTCCCCTGTACGCCTTGTTAGCGTGGCCCTTTGTAATCGGGTTACTTTTATAGTTCGGTTTGCAACCTGAAACCGACCCGTCCATCCTACCGAGTCATTCTACACCTCGTCGTTGACCACGCCATGCACACACTGGTTCTGTCATTGGCTGGCGTCCTGCCGCATAGGGCTGTCCATTTGCTGCCCGACATGGCCGAAAACAGATGAATGGCGTTGACGTCACGGACTGCTTCTTTCGCTTTTCGGGTCAAGGACACGGGAGTAGGTGCCCCACCCAGTTTAGTGATTAACCCGCTGACGTTGTAATAGCTTGAAGCTTTTATGGGCAATGAATTCAGAACTCGGTCAGCGTCAAACTAAATTTAAATCGAACGTTCAATTGCATTTCCTGACTTATATTTCGCGTGTCACGAACAATTTAATGCAGAGAGCTTTCGTAGCAAAGGGTATGGCGATAAATGAGGCTTCTTTCTTCAGGGGTATATTTCACAACGCTGTTAGCTAGATTTCATAGCCTCGAACAGTAGGACGAGAGATGAATTATGAATCGGAAAGGATTTAGAAGGACACGATCGTACCCGAGTGGAGCTAGTCCAGCATTTGCTTGGATGGACTGAGGAAAACCACGAAAATCTCAGTGTAACCGATGGGCCGGCCGAGATTCGAAGTGTTCGTCTCCCGAATACAAATCTAGTGCCTTACCTCAACACCCAGGTAATGTCGTGGCTAGAAGAAATGAGGTTAGTATGGGATCCTGTTCACCAAAATATAATCTCGCCCAGTTGATTCCTGCTCCACAATTCGATATTCCGTATCTGTAAGCTTAATTTTAATACTACGAGCCGGGATAGCGTGGTCGGTATAGCGACTAGATACGGGCTGGACGCCCGAGGGTTCGGAGTTCGAGTCCCTGTAGGGTCAAGAATTTTCTCTTCTCCACAGCTTCCAGACCGGCTCTGGGGCCCACCCAGCCCCCTATTCAATGGTTAGCGGGTTCTGTTTCTCCGGAGTTAAAACGCCCAGGGTGTGAGGCTGACCCCTCACCTCCAACTTGTGCCGGGGTAAAAAAAAAAGTGGGTCTGTACATCCATTCCCCCATACGCCTTCAGTCTACACGTATGTCTCGAAGCCGGTATGGGTAAGACTTCTCAATTTTCCAAAGCATCGAGACGGATTCCGGTGCCCACCCAGCCTCTTATCCGGGGGGGGGGGGCGTGAAGCAGAGCACTCACCTCCAACTATTGCCGAGGTCAAGAATACAGCCGCCTTACGTCATCATGGCATCATACTTAGCGAGTTAAGCACAGGGACGACGCCTATGGCTACCTCATTGCCTTTGACGTATATTGGACGAACACTTTGTGTGCGTTTGTGATCTCCCTAATGGCGTGCCACGTGCCCCCTCCTATCTCACCGTTCTCGAATTGACGTTCTTTGTGGAGAAATTTTGAGATCGTAGAAGACATAAATCAGCGCCGCGCTCTTCAGGATTCGATCCGGGAATCTCAGACTGACAAGCAAGGCATGATTAATGATCTGTAATGCGCACACTAGACGCCCACTTAATGTTTTTGTGTGTAGGTCCCCAAGATATTTCTCTGTTCAACGTCGGCCGCCGCTGAACAGCTATTTCGGTCGTCGATTGTTAGTTCATGTCGCGACGCCATTTCTGCAGTGAAATTAACGTAGCATTTAGTGTGAGAAGATGTATAAATGCGTGGTTTTGGAATGCCTGAGGAAAACAGTGGTTGTTGATGACTTCTCCCATATTTGAACCGATAGCTCAAGCGGTTAGTCGCTGGCTTCCCACCGCGGCGGCCCGGGTTCGTTTCCGGGTCTGGTCAAGTGGGATTTGTGGTGGACAAAGTGGCACTGGGGCGGGTTTTCTCCGAGTACTTCGGTTTCCCCTGCCAATCTTCGTTCCACCAAATTCTTCATCATAATCACCCGGGGCTGGCTACAATAGGCCAATCAGTGGCCGCCGTGCCGAGTGGACCCAGTTGGACTCCACCCCCCACTAAGCGTATTAAAAAAAAATATATATTCATAATGATAATCGCTTATGGTAAACCTGTCGACATCCTGCTACTCCACTAAAGAGAGGGCTGTGGTAGGGCCTTGAGTTATATCACTGTTCTAATGCCATGAGTCGAAAGAGTACAGCCAGCCTTAGAGAAAGATATTCAGGCTTGATGAAGTAGACTTCTTTTCATTTATACGTGCGCTTTTCTTTTTGAACCTTCCTTGTCCGTAAGAGATAAACACTTGCACTTCTGACGTGTAGATCGTTAGCAGTTAGTTATAAATAGGACCAAAGGTGGCAGCATTGAAGGATATGCTTGAATCGATATGATAATGTTAGCTTTCGCAAAAGATGATCTTGATTAGTAGCACCGCTAAGTTCATTGTTATATTGCTAGGGGTCTAAATATAGCTACTTTTCTAGAAATCTTCACTTACCTGAGCTTTGTTTGTAACATATTTCCAATTAATTTCAGCGGGTTTGTGATGTATTGAATCAGTGACATTTCCTTGCCTTTTGTTGTAATGATGTTCTTTTGTTTGCAGCTCGCTGCCTGCCGGGTTGTGACGATCAGCATGGACACTGCAACCAACCCAACGAATGCCTGTAAGTTGCCAGATTCCCTTTTATAGTCTTGTCTAAACTTCTTTGAGGGTACGACATGCTTTCAGCAGCCAACCTTGCAGAAAAAACTTATCTTATTGTCCTAGATGTCATTATTTATAGGCTGCACAATTTAATACCAATTTTCACAAAATAAATAAAACATCTGTCTGTAAACAGAGCCGAGATAGCGCAGTCGGAATAGGGTCTGAGTTACGGGATGAACGGCCAAACGGTCGGAGTTCGAGTCCTGGTGACGGAAAGAATTTGTACTTCTCTATGTCATCCAAACTGGCTCTGAGGCCCACCCGGCGTCCTATCCAAGGGGTATCGGGGACCCTTTCCCCGTGGGTGAAGCTGACCGCTCACCTCCAACTAGTGGCGTGGTCAGGAAAATGTGGGTCTCTACATCCATTCCGCCATACGTCTTCATGGCGTAGTGCTTAATAAGTTAATCACAGGGACAGTTTTACCCTTTTATGTACAAATAATTTTAATTCCGATGGTGACGTACTTTCAAGGATGTTTTAGACAGAGTTTGTCAAAGAATTTTTTATTACTGATTTTCTTTTATTAATTGATGCTCGTCAGGCTTCCAGACCGCCGTATTTATAGTTTATACGTTAGCATATTTTTGAGGCGGTGTTTGGTGTCGCCAAAAAGAAATGTCTCCTACACAATTATAGTCTTTCGATATTACAGTAGATTTTTATTCAGGCGCTATTTGATAATTGAATTAACTAGCGACGAGAAACATTGTTTGAAGAGCATGACATCTGCCTGGCTGTATGATCCTGAAGATGGAAGCATAAAGTTCCTCCGAAACATTGGTAAGCTCCTGTCAGACAAAGTGGGCGTCGCATCCCAAAAGATAATACTCTTCAAATTAATATTATTTTCAAGATTATCGCTGTTTAATGAGGTAGCTGTAAACGTTTTCGGATGATCTTGCAACTTTCATCTTGAGGGTAGAGAAGTCGGTCAATCGTGAAAGAAGAACTATACATATAGGGTGATTCTAAATTATTGTCGGGGTTTCCTTGTCCGTATATAGAGAAATACAGGCCCGAAGTTATTCTGACCGAACTAGTAAGAGCAGGAGCTGTGTAATGAATATTGATTGCCCTTTGAAGGATAGAAGAATATTGTTTTTTTACTCCCCTTGAAAATAATCCGTGAAAGGGTCACCGTTTCTCGTGACTTCCTTGAAGCTCCTCTTTGTTTCGTGCTTACTCTTCCTTTGGAAAACGGCCCTTCAAAGGGGGAGTATTCCGTACCATGGCCTCCTTATTTACTTACTTATGGAGCTGAGCCCTTCTTGAGAAGCCAAATTCTGCAGCTACTCAAAAATTTACCAACATTTTATGGAACCCGAAGGTTCATTACCGTGTTCACAAGAGCCCTCCACTGGTCCCTATCCAGTGCCAGATCAATCCAATCCATACCATCCCATCCTATCTCTCTGAGATCCATTTTAATATTGTCCACCCACCTACGCTTTGGTCTTCCTAGTGGTCTCTTCTGGCTTTCCCACCAATATCCTTATATGCATTCTCCTCCATTCGTGCTACATGCCCCGCCAACCTCATCCTCCTTGACTTGATCATTCTAATTGTACTTTGAGAAGAGTACAATTACGAAGCTCCTCATTATGCAGTTTTTTCCAACCTCCCGTCACTTCATCCCTCTTCGGAACCATGGCCTCCCTACTTCCATACATACGGCTAGGGCTCCTAGCCTTGCCCTCGCGTTCCCAGAATATACACTATTTCTTCCATCCTCGGCTTAGAAAATAGAAGCGCTCAAATTTGGCTGTGGTGAAACATACGACCGTTCAAGTGACTAGACTGCCGTTGTTACGTGAACTACTAAAGATAAGGTATAATCTGCTGCACTGACAGAGGCCTTGTGTCTATTGTGTGTGTGTGTGTATGTGTATATACATACTACAACAGTCAATAAGTTCGTGGAATGGACGCAAAGCGTCATACGGGAATTTACAGTCAATATGTTTCAGCAGTGTTTTCGACAGTTATATCAACGTTGGCAGACTTGCATAGCGGCCAACGGCAACTATTTTGAGGGCCGATGTGGATCTGCGTAAGCGTATGTGAATACCTTGTAATGTGATGCGATAANGTGAGCTCAAGATTGGGTTCGCTATCAAGACAGACTGATCGTCAGTCGTATTGTGACTTTGACTTTACTCCTCAACTTAATGTTCCACCCTGAAGTTGGAAGCAGCGGGTTCCTTCGAAATATTCGTAATTACCAGACTAAACGGTGTCATATCCATAGAGACCGTAATCTGTAAGTTTGTGATGTGTGTAGCTAATGGATCGCGAACCACTGGTTGAGAAGCGTGTGTGTAAACAATGTGTAGTGCACAAGCACTCGATACTTGTTATCGCCTGCTGTGCAAACGTCATTGTGCGGTTTGTTTTGGCTGCAAAGTTCCCATTATAGATGGGTTCCATGTTTGTGTATGAAGTTACGGTATTAGCATGGCTCGTAAGGTCAATGCACAGGGAGAAGTTCCGTTCAGTTCGCAGCATTCAGCGACGCGGTGCGTACGAGTGGATATCACATTGTGATAGACCGATACTAGTTACTAGTTGTAGGCAGTTTCTCCGAAACGTCGGTGAACTACCAGACTGCACTGCGTTACATTATAGAACGTGGTCATTGCTGTGAGAACCTCAGATACAACATACCGGATTCTGAAGAGTTCTGTCTCCTAAGGCCTTGTAATCCGTTGAAAGTCAGCCGACGTTTCGGAGGAACATGTTGCTTCCATCATGAGGGTTCGAACGTATGGATGGGTAGCCTCCCCATAAAGGAAAACTGTAGGATTTGAGGTTCTCACAGCGGTGGTTGTCTCCTGGGATGCAACGCCGTGTAGTGTGGTATTTCACTACATTGAATGGTGACAGTTGAACGTGGTAGCGTAGATGGTTGAGGCACAGTGCCACAAGCTGGGTTCGATTCTCAGTGAGGTCATTGGATTTCTCAATTTACCTAATCCTTCCAGCCGCATCATGGCCCTGGGGTCGACACAGCCTCTAACAGAAATGAATACCGGGAACCTTCCTGGGGGTAAACGGCGGCCGGCGCGTAATGCTGACAACCTTACCCCATCTGTGAGACGATTGTCTAGAAAATGTGTGAGCCTCGACGTCTCACAGCCCTATGGGCCTCCACGGCCTGTTATAGGGATAGCGTTACTTATTTTTTTGTTTGTCTGAGGAACGTTCTGCCTCCTTCAGGCTCAGAGTAAGCGAATGAAGCGGAGTCAGTAAACTTGCACAAGATGGCAGCTCTGCTAGCTGCGTGTTGCTTCTGTGGCGTTGCACCTTCTTCGATTCTTGGTCTGGCTCAGTAAGGGGGACACGGTAATGAATGTTCAGGTTCCATAAAATGTTGGGAAGTTTTTGAGTAGCTGCACAGCTGATGCTGATGCTGAAGAAGGGCTCAGCTCCATGAAGTTAGTAATNCGCGTTGCACATTCTTCGATTGTTGGTCTGGCTCATATAGGGACACGGTAATGAATCTTCGGGTTCCATAAAATGTTGGGAAGTTTTTGAGTAGCTGCACAACTGATGCTGATGCTGAAGAAGGGCTCAGCTCCATGAAGTTAGTAATGTTGGTGTTACTGATTGTGAGGGATTCATGAAGTGCGCCGTTGGGGTGAGTTCAGTTGCAAGGGGACACACATACACGTACAGACAGCAAGGTGATCTAATAGGAAAATATGTAAGAAAAATTACCATATATCAAATATCACTGTCAAGTGGTTAGTGAACCTTCATATTCGGATGGTCACAGGATTAAATCCGGGTTCGAAGAAGACCAGCTACCAAGATGCATCGTGGCTGGATAGAATAGGTTAGTAGTGAGTAATGGATTGAAAAGGATGCTTAAGAAACAGCTGGCAATCACATATAAGGTGATATTATTGCATTCGCGTTGTGTGACTGAGTGAAACGGCGGAAATCCAGTGAGGATAGGCGGTGTCCCGGCTTGAAGTTCGAACCACATATCTCCCCAGTAGTAGTCAGAAGCCTCGCCGCTTGAGCTGTTTTGCGGCGTTCCCACGTTTCTGTTTTCTCCATTCTCGTCAACTTTAGTCTTAATTTTGTATGCATTCCTCTTGTTTTTCCTTTCGCATCATTTTATTTTTGTCCTTTCATTTCTATTCTTCTTCAGTCAGTTTTTTCTTTCATTCTTGTTCGTTATTTAATGTATTGTCTTCCTCTGTCCTTTCTCATTTTTCTTTCTTTCCAGTTTTCCTCTCGTTCATTATGGCTCTCTCGTCCTGGCCCTGTATAATTTTCGCCTCGTTTCCCTACATTCTCCCTCATTACGATAATGACGGTCGGACTGGCCACTTGAAGCAGACTTTCCTAAATTTACCCTAAGAGACTCATCCACAACTCTCCTTGACCCGCATACTGTGAAGTCTCGGCGACCGTGGGAACTTGCAGCCGAGTGGGCGTGGCCAGTTCCCCTCCCTGTGCCACTCCTTCTTGATCGCAAGTTCTGCAACTCAATGGAGACAGATACATGGTGTGAACACCCAGTCATGTACACTTCGTAACGTTTGAAATGTATAACCTTACAGGTGATGCATACAAAGTTCTTCCACATACAGAATAAAAAGATTAATTTTCAGACCCCTAGATGTGTGTTATTATGAGGGCTACCTGCACCATAATCGCCTCGACTTCGTACGTCATAACGTCTTCTTTACATCTTCTGCTTCTTTCTGCTGTTTCTCGTTCTCTTAATCTCTCTTCTCAGTGTTCTTACACATATTTTTGATCTTTCCCCACCCCCTTCTTTTTCTGAATCTCATCACTTCAAATCTTGTACCGTTTTTTTTATCTCGTTGTCTCCTCTCTTCCTGTTCCTTCGCCGGATCCTTCTGTTATGTCCACCTCTTTCAGTGACATTCAGAGAGATGGGGTTGAGCATTGCGTCATGAAAACGCATGGGGAACGAAG